GCGAGAAAAATACCAATGGTTTATTTTTTATCCTAATCCAAATATGCCATGAGATATATATATCGGATTCTAAGCTAGTCTTCACACTCGCCATTACTTTCGGTCATTACTCTATTAAGGATGACTCTTCTTTGGGAATCCCACATTATATCATCGCAATATTAGAGTTCTATAATATTTTGTATTTATTTCATATGATATTGCTTAATACCGTTTGTCATGATCCTCGTGATATTTAGTGACACTTTGTTAAGAAAATCTTACGCTACTTTAAAAGCATTATTCATTTTACGGTCTTCGATTATGTAAAATTAATCTTTCTTCAATAGCCAACTTTGGTGATTAGGGGTGTTCACTATTTGGTTAAAACTGAAATACCGAACCGTACCGAATCAAATTAACAATTTCGATTCGGTTTTTTTAAAAAAAAATTTTAAAAATCGAATAGAAAAACTGAAATTATTTTGATTCGGTTCGGTTATTTTTTTAACACATTCGGTTTCCACCGAAAATCGAATTTTAAGCAAATTTTAAGTTACAAAACATCAAAACGCTAAGTCTCGCTACAATCCTTCTCTTTCACGGATCCACAAAACTCCCCTTCTCCTCGGTCCTCACTTAGTCGGTTAGTCTTCCACAACTCGCTTCCCGTAATCTAATATCAATATATCGCTTTAGGCTTTTAACTCTTCTCTTTCGCGGATCCACTTGACACCACTCCGAGCTTCCTACAATCCCGCCTTATTTCATTTCCTTGACAGCAGTTCAATCCCACCCGCATCATCTCCACATACTCACTTCGGGCTTCGGCACTGCTAGTCGCTAAAAACTCGTCCGTCCTCCTCCTCTAGAGTGACAGAGTCCGGTCCTCCTCGGCTCCTCGGACCTAAATTCGGTTCCCACGGCCTTCTTCCTCCTCCTTCTCCTCCACCCACGGTTTGGCATTTCCCATTACCCAATTCGATCAAAACTCAAAAGGTCATTTTTTTTTTTGGTGGTTATGCAGCAATTTTCTATCTACTTTTAGAGTTTATGTTATTAATTTCCATCTAGTTTTATGGTGGATCAATTTTGTTTCATATTTGGATAAGCATATTTGGGAATAGAGCTGCAATGTGTGTAAAATTTTAGGTACTGCGGGTACCATGGGTATGTGCTTGAAATAGAGCTTGAATTAATGTTTCATATTTGGGATTTTGGGTACTCGTGGGTGGCTGATGGCCATCGGCTTGCGGCACGAAGCCGGTAGGCCTACTTATCAAATTGGTCATAGGCTATGATAGATATATGATGAATGGATGGTGGTTTGATCTTTTGAGTGACATAGGTAAATTTCTAATGAATTATCTTTGTGTGTGTCCATGTATGTTTATAAATGCCTTTATATTTTATAGAATTGACATTTTTTTCCTTTTCTTTATAGGATTTGTCATTTAGTGAATATTTTGCTTGAAGCCTTGAACTTGTCTATTTGTGGTTGTGACTTATGGGAGTTTTTTGAATTATTTTACTTGGCAAGTTGTTGGTGACTTAGTAAGTTAGTTTTGTATTGTTGGCTTCTTGTTGTTGGTTTCTTGTTATTGGTTTGTTGCTTTTAGTTTGTTAAATTGCTTATGTTATTTGGTAATTTGAGAACGTTGAATACTTGCATTATTGTTTTTAACTTTTTACTTTGTTAAATACTTGAAATTGAATTGTTATTTGACATTCTTGCTTTTTCATTATTGAAGTGTAGAGAATAGTGTAGCATTGTAGTCTATTTGAAATTTGGATGGGGTCTATGTGTTCTTATGGCTTGTCACTAAAAAAGGTTGATCTTTGAGGTAAATGTTGAGATCATAAAATCGATGCAATTCTAATTAAGTTGTTGATCGAATCAAATATGATATTGAGTATTAATTATAGGTGAAAACCGAATTACCAAATATATATTCGAATCGAAAAACCGAATAATAATTCGGTTATGTTTCGGTTATTTTTTTAGACAATTCGATTAATTGAAAACCGATCAAAAAAGTTCGAAACCGAATCGAATTACCAAACGAACACCCCTATTGGTGATGCAAACACTAGAAGATCTACCACGTGATTTTGTTTTTTTGTCATAATTTGGTATCTTGGATGGCTAGAGTATCATGCACTTGCTGCTATTGTTGTTGAATTATGGTGGTTTCAATCTCTTCTTCGCGATCTTTATCTTCAACCTCATCTACCTATTGAGGTCTTTTGTGATAATCTCTTCTACATGCTTTGTTATTAATCATGCTCGGTATTAAGCATTTGAAAATTGATTTATATTTTGTCAATGAGTGTGTTTCAAGGTATGATATTACTCGTTAAATTTGTTTTTAACAATCATCAATTTGTAGATATTTTTTCCACAAGACTCACCTTCTCTCGGCTTGCTTGCATTCGCTCCAATTTCTACATTCTTAAAATATTAGACTCGTGTTTGTTTGAGAGAAAACAAGTTCTAAAGGAAAATCAATTCTCGAGAAAGCTATTTTTCAGGAAATTGTTTTCCAAAAACATATTTTCTCGCCGTTTGGCAATTATATGAAAAAATTGTTGAAAAATATATTCCAGCGTTTATTTGATACGGAAAATTAAAATACAAAAACATATGTGATTGTTATATCAATAAATTGTAAAAAAAATTCAAAAAGACATATTCATGATTTTACAATATAAGATACATTTAGAAAAATTTAATAAATTTTCATAAATACTAACTCTAAAATTTTAATTCAAAAAATAAATTATATTTTTTTAACTATCAAAGCAATTCATCAAAATTACTTGAGACAAAATCAAATCAATAAATACATTTAGTAAAAAAAAAAGATTTTAAGTAATTCGAGCATTATTATTTTGGTAACTCAATTAATAATTTTTCTTTTTTTCAGAAATTGAACTGATAATTTAGTCTAAAAAATAATTTTATAAATTGTTACTTATCATTTATAGATAATTATGCATTTGGTCTCAAAAGATTAATGTTGGAATAATTTGTAACTAATTATTCACTATAATTACCAACAAAATTTTACAATGAATTAAAATGATAAATTATTGATTTAATTGCAAATGAATAGTATTGAAAAAATAATGTATTTATTGATGAATTAATTAATTTTAATTTTTTTTTACAAAAATTATAGTCTTGTAATAATTATTTTCGATCATTTAAGTATAGTTTAGGTGATGTTTGAAATAATAGTAAAAAAAATAGAGATATGAAATAATAGTAAAAAAAAATAGAGATAAACTATTGAAATATTTATTATAAAAATAATTTTAAGGTGTAAAAATGATTTTTAAGAATATTTAATGTATCTATAAATAAAAAAAATCAAATATTAGTAAAAATAGAGAAAAAAATAATTAAATAATTAATAATAATTGATAAGGAATAATTAAAAATTAATTTGATATATTTTAAATAAAAAATAGAGAAAAAATTATTAAAATATATTGAGAGAGGTAAGTAACGTGAGAGAGAGACAACTCATAAAAAAGGAAAATGTTTTTCTCTTTTGAAATTTAGAAAAAATTTTCCTAAAAATATTCTATCATTTTTTATTGATCGAAAATCATTTTCTGTTGACTTTTTTTTTTAAATGTAAAACAAACATCCAAAAATAGAGAAAACAAATTCCTGAGTATTGTTTTTCCCTAAACAACCATAGCCTTAAAAGATAAAAATATTATATAGCATATATTATGTAGTGATATGTTTTCTGTTCAAAACAAAATATTAAACATTGAATACAAAATATATTATATTTCGTAAATTGAATACATAACGTATTTTATGCCATATATTATTTAATAATATATTTTATATTTAAAACAGAGTGTTGAATATAAAATATCATATTTCAACATTCAATTGTGTTTTCAATACAAAAATTATATATATTCTATCAAACATACTGTGGTCAATCTCAACAGCAACTTTTTCTTTATTTTATTTGAAAAATATATTTGATAAAAATTAGAAAATGATATTTTATATTATTAATTTCGAATTTCGATGTGGTGATGTTGTCTACCCACATCCTCATGTCCATAGAAACATACCAAACTTAATCGGACTAGTAATCGGATCGGTGACCAGATTATGCTGACAAGACTAAACAGTAAGTATAATGTCATGTCAACAAATTAGTCCCTCTTTAAAAAAAAAATAATAATAAAAACAATTCAATTAATCTTTTTAATTTCAAAACTTAATTAGTTATTTTTTTTAACTAGTATCGTTAATTATTAATTTAATATTTTTTTATTTTATAAAAATGTATCATATTCTCATTAATATTTTTATAATTTTTACTTATTTTTTATTTCTTAAAATAAAAATTTAAATTAATTAAAAAAAACTAAATGATTGAGTTTAAAAATAAAAAATAATTGATTTGTTTTTCAAAACGAGGGAGAGTATTTTATAATTTACTCTTATAGTATACTGTCGAGAGACTCCTGCCTTTGATATTAATCCAGGTACAATGGCATTTTATCAATTTATTTATAACAGCAATTCTACATTTATTAATATTTAATTATTTATTTCATTATTAGTAGACTGTAATTATACCCATTAATTAAGCACTTCAAAAGTTCTTAAGAATTTTTTTATCAGATATTACTTCGAATGAAATAGATATTCTTGAATCAAACTAACAAATAGAGATTGAATTGTTTGTTTGTTTGTTTTTCGTTTTTTATTAGTATTAGAAACAGATATTTTGCTAAAATCCACTAAACTGCCTCCACTCAAAATTTCCACATATTCTCTCCACGTGGCAGAAAACCCAAAGTCCAACTGGTTCGGCTTAATTATTGTGATTATTGCAGCATTCATTTTTAATGCCGACTCTTGTCTCCTACTATCTCGACGACCTTACTCATTAACAGCATTAATATTAACAAACTTGAAGAACAACAACTCTTAAAGAAAACAAAAACAAAGAAACCGTTTTTTTTTTGGGTTTCACAAGATGGCTTGTTTGACTCGGGTTTTAACGGTTTCTTACCCCATAAAGCCGTTGTGTGGATTTAATTCTTGCGGTTCTCAGAACTGGAGGATGAGTAGATTTGCAGGTGCTTCTGATCACAATTTGAGATGGAAAGCAATGGCATCAGAATCAGATTCTTCTTCTTTTGCTATTTCAGTTGACTCTGATTCTGCTGATAGAAACGCTGCCGGGTAAAAGATTTCTAATTTTTTTTTCCTTATATCCAACTCTCTTTTTAAGTTTTATTTGTGAAGAATGTGAAATTGTTGACTTATTTGCTGGGTTTGGTTTGGTGGGATTTGCTTGCATGTTAGGTTTTGTATTATAGAAGGTCCAGAAACAGTGCAGGATTTTGCTAAAATGGAATTGCAAGAGATTCATGATAATATTCGAAGTCGAAGGAATAAAAAAATTTTGCATATGGAGGAGGTGAGGATTAAAGAAACTATGAATTGAATTCTCTTTATATTACGTTTCTTTTTTCTTTTTTGGTGGTTGGTTTGAAGGTTTTGTTTAGATAGTCTGGTGGCCATATTTAGCTAATCTTATCTGAAATCCACATTTGAAAGACAAAAAAGAAGTCAAGTTTAAGTTTGATTAACAAAAAAAAGTTTCAAAGTACGGTTTTAGGACTCATCAAAGCTGAAGACGACTGCGATATGATAGACCTATTAGCCAAAAGTGCTATACAGTGCCTGCTTTATGCTCATAAAGTACAGAAGAAAATAAAAGATTCCCGCTTTCTTAGTTGTTCTTTCAGTATTGCTTTGTACTTAGTGACATAATGACTAATGATGTTATTTTAATGATCTGTGTATTAGATTTCGAAAATGAGTCTACATTGCCATCGTTCTGCTCTAAATTCAACCTTTGTGATTTTTTTTTTTAATTTTCTTTTTTGATGTTATAATGTCCCAAAAAATTTCATAGGTTCGTAGACTAAGGATACAACAGAGAATCAAGAATGCAGAACTTGGAATCTCCAATGAAAATCAAGAGAGTGAACTTCCTGACTTTCCATCATTCATTCCATTCTTGCCTCCCTTGGTGAGTTTCATCTTGTTCTACTACTTATTACGTTGATTTTAGTTTACAGTGCCTCTTTTCTTTCATTTGTTGATCTCAAAATGTTTTACTTTTAATTTACTGTTTGTTTTGTATCACACTTCATGAGAAATGTATCTTTTTCTTTACCATTAAGATGCCGATTGCGTGGTAACTAATTTTGCATGTAACATACAGACTGCTGAAAATCTGAGGCTGTATTATGCTACTTGTTTTTCTCTTATTGCTGGGTTATCATTTTTGGTGGCCTTCTAGCACCCACTGTAAGTTTTTCTATGTGCTTGATTGTTATGATCATAAACTTAGAAAACCAGGCTGAGGAGATCTAGTAATGTTTATCAAAAAACGGCATATAATCAAGCAAGTTTTTTGTATCGTTTTGGAGTGTTTGTTTTTGGCATTGTTTTTAAGTATCTATCCCTTTTCATCTCAGTTGGAGCTTAAGCTTGGATTGGGGGGCACATCGTATGCAGATTTTATCCATACTATGCATCTGCCCATGCAGCTGAGGTATGGTGCACCAACGTTGTCTCTTATAACTATTGCTTGGTTTCTTGATCCTGATTGTTGAGTTTGTTTTGCTCCCATTGTTTCTCTCATCAGCTTCAAGTTCTTATGCTAGATACAGTGTTTAGAGAATTATGTTGAAACACTATCATATTTACTTTCTTTTACATGCCAATTTCATTGTTTCCAAGTGCAGTCAGGTTGATCCTATCGTGGCATCATTCTCTGGAGGAGCAGTTGGGGTCATCTCAGCCTTGATGGTGTTTGAAATAAACAATGTAAAACAACAGGAACATAAAAGATGCAAATACTGTCGTGGAACTGGTATTTTTCTAGCTTCTTCACTCTCTTCCCTCGTGTGGATTTCTTGTCTGCTGTGGCCTTTAATGCCTATCATTGAAATGATTGATTGTTGAACTTGGATAGTTCAACAATAAGAAAGGTTTTCCCTCAAGTACTCCAGCAACTATACAGATCCTATTTGCCTTCCAACTCAATTTAGCTCTGTATTTTCAGTTAGACGATGCAATTGCCAATATCTGTCTCTCTGTGGCAGATCTGCTTGGATATCCTTGTACAAGTTATGCTAATTTGAATGAAAAAATTTTAACAGATAATAGATTATAAACTTGTTCCTTTTATAGAGATAAAATGGTTCAATTAAGGATATTATTGTTATTCATCTTAAAAATTTTAACGTAAAGAAAAGTTAAAAATAATTATTACCTAATTAAAAATTAAAAATAATTTTTTAATGAGACGTTAAGATTTTCAACTTCCACTTTCTTTTTTGTCAAGCAACTTTTAGTTCAACTAATTTTATTTTATTTTATTTTATTTTTTTTTTTTTTTGTAATTCCTTATTTCCAATTATGACTTAACAAAATTTTTTACTTTTCTCAAGTCATTCCAAAGAACCATTAAGATTTATGATTTTGTTTTGAAGATCTTCATTGTGTAATTCAAGGCTCTATATAGCTCAAGGCTTTCCGAGTCTCCCGTCAAAAAAAAAAAAAAAAATCACGACGGGAAGGAATTTTAAAAGCTTTGTATGTCTGCCTTTTCTATCTTAAATTTCAATGTTGCATGGAAACGAAAATAACAAAGACATTTTATCAGGAACCCAAAATTTTAATTAAATGATGACAGCAAATTATTAAGGCATTACGGATTGTGCTGTTTGGGGTCAATAAACAAACATTTACAACTCATTTATTGGCAGCTTCTCTTAATCAAAGCCATCAGAAGGATCTGTCGTTGTCATAATGATTTACAGCAAATTTTTTTATATGTGAAAACCCTGAAGTCTTTGTGTATACTTTAGAGCGGCACTCTGTTCGTTCTCCTCTCTTCCCTCATATAACAAAAGCTATTAGCACCAGCAGAATGGTTGCTAGTTGCTACTTAATATCTGATATGCTAGCATCACTCAACATCTGATGCAAATTCAATTGCTTCGAAGGCAATGGTACTTGATAATTTCTGCAACGCCTGACTGGTGCTATCTTTTAATTTGAAGCAGTTTGAAAATGATTTTTGTTGATTCTTTCTTAAGAAAATATTTATCTCATTTCATTGGAGTGGCATGAATTGGATTTTTTATTTATCCTCTCATCTTGACGGTTCTAGCTAGGACCTGGTAGGCTGTACATTTACCCATCATAAGAATGATATCATGATTCTATCTTGAAATTGTAAGAAATTCGAGCTTTTTGTTCTTCAGTTATGATTTTGGTGCACGCATAATTGTTTTCTTTTGACATTTTTTTTAATTATTAATGGAGATTAAAGAGAGTGAAAAGAGAAGCTGCGAATGTTGAATTTGGGAAATGGAGACGGAAGAGAGGGAGGTGAGGTTTTGTTTTGATGTTTTCCCTCTCAAGGGCACTCTAATCGCGTGATTTTCAAATCGATGGGCAGGTTTGGGCGCTTTAACGGTGTCGTGTCTTGGCTGTCTTAAAACGAACGACGTGTCGTCCAGTGGCTACCCCACTTTTCTTCTTTGTCCTAATAAAAATACGGACTTCCCCTTTTCCCGTGGCAGAATAGAAGCACTGAGAGCTTCATACGGCGACGCATCATCTGGTTTGGACTCTGATAGTCTGATTCATCTTCTCCAACAACAATAATACGGACTTTCCTTCTCTCCCTCGCAGAATGGAAGCACTGAGAGCTTCATACGACGATGCACCATCTGATTCGGACTCTAATTCATCTTCTCCAACAACAACCAAACCAGTCCCTGTTTCCAACGCACAACCAGAGCGCGTAGCGTTGCCACCTCCGCCTATCTCACTTCTCACTCCTCCCAATTCTCTTGGTAACCAACAAAATCTTTCATTACTTCTCTTTAACTATCAGTCCGGTTCTTACTTGCTTACCAACTGTTTAATGTTTTGTCAATGAAGGTGCATTGGATTCCTTGCAAAAGGGTCAGTCCAGTCGAGTTAGAAGCTTCCCTCATGTTCAAGGCAACTATGCTTTGCACGTCTACATTCCAGGTTCTTCTATATGTTTCCCTTTTTAATTTTTCCTTAATCATATACATGAATAGAGAATTTTGTTCATTTAATTATGTGATTTCAGTTAATATACCGCCTGTGTCCAAAAAGGAAGTGGTTCAGTTCTTGAAGAGGATATCATCACTTGTGCCGGGTCTTCATGCTGTTGATGCTGATGTTCCTCTTGCTATTTTATGTAAAGATGATCAGAAGTTTGAGCAAGTTGCATTAGGTAGGGAATTCCATATTAGCTTAGGAAGAACCGTGCCGATTCGAGTTCACAAGATTGATTCAGTCGTTGTTATGCTTCGGCAGAAGCTTCAGTTTCTAAAACGGTCAGTTTCTTTTGCAATTACAATCAACTTGTGTATAGTTCGATGAGCTTAAGCATAAGTTCCTGTTATGGGGTTATGCGAATTTTTTTTAAGACAACGTTTTGTTGAAGCAGATATTGGATTGACTTTAGTAAGTGGGAAGTTTTCGTAAATGATGACAAGACACGCACCTTTCTTTCACTAGAAGTTTTGAGGGGAGGATTAGCTGAGGTATGATGCTGCTCAAATTTTGTTTGTTCATTTGTTACTTCAAGCTCAAGTTGTGCTTTCCTTTACAACTTCGTGTAGCTTTATATAGCAATGATTTGTTCTGCTTCAAATGCTATAGATTACGAAGCAAACTGAATCTGTTAATGAGGTGTATAAGCTCCACAATCTTCCTGAATTCTATAAGGTGAGCTTATTGATTCTCATGGATATCTGTTGCTAACTATGATCGCTTTTTCGATATATCTTACTATACTGTTGTACTATGTTGGATGTTGCACATAGGATCCACGCCCTCACATATCGTTGGCTTGGGCAATGGGTGATGTTAGCGACATCTTAAAGAGAGAAGTTGAAAACGAAATGAAGAGGTCAAGCATTGGGGGTTCAATGCTGAAACGTGTATTTGCTTGTAAATTCGGCGGGGTTGATTGCAAGATCGGTAAAAAGATGTACAAAATTTCTAAATTTCTTGATGAATGATAAAGCTTTTAACCCATATCTGTGTTTCCATTGAAGTTGTATCTTCTGTTAATCAATTACGTGCATCTCAAGTATCAAGAATCTGATCTTGTATTGTTTGTGTAATGAAGGATGATGAATGCAGGAAGCAACTTACTTTAAGTAATCCCATCATGTACTTTCAAAGTGAATTTTTTGAAAATGTCTTGAATAATATTCTAAGGACCCTTCCAAAGCCAATACCTGCTTGCTCTTCCTCGCCAGAAAAACATGGCAAAGAAACAAGTAAGTGGATTTCCATCCTTGACATGTATTATGTAGTCAACAACTGAAAATAAACACAGGGATTAGGATATCATGGGTGCAACTAGTTGGGCAGGAAAACCTTATCAACCATATATATATGAGCCTAATTACCAGGTGAAGATGACCAAAAAAAAAAAAAAGATTGGAGAAAGATTTGATTATCTGACTCATTCATCCCTCGTGTTCAACGTGTCTTCCATGTTTCCTTTCTATGATCCAATCCACCAGATCTTTGTTGCTTCAAATCTGTTATTCTTGACTGCAAGGTGTAAAGCAGTCTCTCGTTGACCAGTCTTATCTTCCATACAATCAGGACAGAAAAAACTAATACGTAGAATTACAGCAGCAGAAGAGAACTTTCAATTAGAAATATGAGTGGCTTCGACCATTCCTTCAATCTAACCAAAGGCATGGGGCTTGTCGAATTACTTGATAGAGAGTTTATATATATATATAAATATTTCTGAGAAGAATAATATATTTAAGAAAACACCAGTACAGCAGGGGACCAGTCCTGCTACAAGATCCTTCATCAAGACTCATTAAGCTTGGCCATCTAAATAGAACTTCAAAAACAAACCAGAAACTAGTGCAGCTATAAAGTTAGGAAAAAAAAAAAAACATGAAGCAGAATATCAATACTAAGATAAGAGAACCAAGATTTCTGTTCATATTTTCTGTCTGAAACTTTCTCATTCTTGCAATTTGAGCTTTCAATGAACAGATATGGCTTGAATCATAAAATATAGTAGTCCACGCAATTGAAAAACGGAAAAAGCAGCCCAAGCTAGCAGTGAAGTCCTTAACCTTATCAGGAAGCCAAATCAGATAGAGAACAGCTTCATGCTGTCGCAACCTTATTATTCATATTACAAGTCAAAAAGCACAGCTCCAGGAACAGGAACAGATTACATGCAGAATCTTGAAGACCAAAGTCTCAAGCAGCATCAGAGCTCTAAGCAAAGTGGATTTGCTATAGAAATTACGGCCATATTCTCGAGGATGAGTTGATCTTCTTTTAGCAACCGGTAGAAGTCTATATTTCTCGTTTAAGATGCCTCGAGCAACTATAGATCCATTCTGATGTAAAGAAGCCTCTTCTGTTTGAAATGTTTTGGCAAATAGTAGTGGTTATTTACGATGTTGCCACATAAGAGGATTGGAGATTTTCTTGGTTATAGAAGAAATCATTTTAATGCTCATTTAACTAATCATCATAATGCATTTTATCTAAAAGAACTGTCACAACAGAGTTGATTGAAAGCAATGCAACGACCAGAAAAACATAGAAATCGAATAGCAGACGCAATGTTCAAAGACAAAGATGAGAGAAAAGAAATATAGAGCCGTAACTTATTCTGTTTCAAAAGCTTCAGATGAGTAAACAAATAAAATTTGTCACACAAGTTTATAAACTCCATCCAATCTTCTTGAATTTCATAAGTTTTGCTTCTATGCATCATGAGCGCCCCATTTGCCTCAGCATGAAGGCTGGTGGATTTCACCCTGTAACATGGATACGATCACTCAGTTACTTAAGCCGAAGGAGAAATACCATGGTGACAGACTAACACTTGTCACTAATCTCAGAGGCTATCTTGAATGCTCCGCTCCATATTGCTGCTCCTGCTTCCCATTTAGGCTGTAGCTTCAGACTTCAGACTTCTCATTTAGAAGATATGAGCAAGACGATCATATTCAAAGCTTTAGACTTCTCATTTTGCATCCATCCGCTTTCAAACCACTCTATAAGTAGTCCTTGAAAATTTTTCTGAACATTCTCGTAAGTGGGCGTACTGGTCGGGCTAAAGTGGACTCAGTTGAAGACAATATGGTTTGTGGTTAACAGGACAGATAGATAGAGGTTGGAAGGCACAATCATAGTTTTAAATATAACGTAATGGCCGTTATGTAACGGTTTCAGAGTTTTCTATTATCGTTATTTTGGTATTGTAATAAATCGCGATCCGCGATAATAAGTACAATCGTTTTTTCAGCCGTCTGTCATTTAAAACTATGAGTATAATGCATGGTAATGCGATGCCGTAAGTACAATACATGGCAAGCAGACACATTTTGAAGCTCAAATTGCAAGGAAAATTTATAAGAAAACACACAAACAGCATAAAACCAACTGTGCTTGTGGTAGCCAAAATGGACTGACCTGCAAATTAATTTATAAGAAAACGAAAATTTTCATTTGTAGGCGAAAGCCTGTGATTACCATATCTAATGCACATATAGGTTCTGTGGGCTCAAACTTCAGCCATGGAGCCAATTTTGCCACTGCTGGGTCAATCGTCAGGCTTCAAGACACTGCTAAGGCAGCAAAGTGGATGGAGTCCCATTTCATTAGACGTTCCATCTGTTCAATATTCAATAAAAAGATCCCAGATGCCGTCAAGGTGATCAATGCCATCCCCTCCGCATGTTTCTAATTTTACAATAAATGTTTGTTAATTTTTTTTTTCCTTATGGTAGATCATAGAGGTAATTAGTTAAATTATTTAATTTCGGGAAGGAATATGAATATTCGAAACCATCCTATAAGGTTTTGTCGAATAATGTGACACAGGAAGGATTTTGGGACTTTGCTGACAAAGGCAGATTATTTTCCCAAAGCTTAAGTATCAATTACAAGCTCATAAATGAAATTTTCGCATAATTACAGTTGATTATTGCTTCGCACTACAATGTGAATTGAATAAAACAAGTGAAATTATTCGCACTACAATGTGAATTGAATAAAACAAGTGAAATTATTTTTAAAAATCATTTTAATTGGATGTTACTCGCCATGCTAGAGGTACAACAAAATATATTGAAATCAAAAACATTTTTCTCACCTAACTTTATGATTCTCTAATCATTTTTTTCTTTTTTACTTAATTAATTCTTTCTTTTGTTCTTTTTAATATATTTCCTTCTGAAAAAAATATATGATTTTTTAATGCATAAATTCCAAAATAAAAATTTGTAATAATATAAAGAGCAAGTTTCAATTAATCAAAAATAATGTGAAGATTTATTTTTTTTTCCTCATAAGATTGCATCAAAAAAATAAAGCAACAATGAATGTAAAAAATATTACATAAAAATTTAAAATAAAATTTTATCCTTATTAAATATCGATGAGGAAATTAATTTTTAAAAGCATATACATCATGTTTATATTTATTTTTTATCAAAATAATTAATAACATTAGTATAAAAAAATTAATTGAAAAGTATGGTACCATCACATGTTTTTTTTTAAATATCATTTTTAATTGTTTTATTTGAGGGAAATTAATGTCAAAATATCCATTTTTTATAGATAAAAAAAGAGAGAGCAAATGATCAGTTTTTTGTTTGCATATGTAATCCCTATAAAATTAATTTCAATAAATTAATTATATATATAAAAAAACTAAATAAAACAAGTAGATTCAATTTTTTTCTTCTTCTTTTTAATAGATATTTTTGTTCTAAGTCACACATGCATGGTTCCCAAGCATAAGCCTCACATATATAACAATCACTTTCTCTTTTTTCACTTATTACTTTTAATCATCAATTAATTATTTTAAAAATTATAATTTTTCAAAAACTAGAGAAACAAAATTGTCTCCAATACACTTCTAACCTTTAGATCAAACATACATATTTAGAACCGGGATAGTCTCATTTAAAAGTTATAAGAATTCATCATATAAATCATATTTCTTTATTTATTTTAATAAAAGAAAGTAACTATGTTCATAAAAATTTATTCCAAAATCCAGACATAAAAAAAAATCATATTTATAAATAAATAAAATTTGATAAAAAAAAAGAAAAAATATATATTTGGATGAGAATTTTCATAAGAAATGATAAAATGGTAAGGATAAGTTTCAAAAATAAGAATAATATAATTTAAAATATATTATGAATCTAAAATATAAAAATACATCAGTAATATTTTTTTCCTCATTCTAATACATCTAAAAAATTCAAATTAGATTCAAAAAATAAAAAATATTATGGAATCTTGATCTTCCTTCTTCAATTATATTATGTCTTAAGACTACCATAAACAAACTCTTCTCTTTAATATAAACAAATCAAAGTCAAAATCGACAATCAAAGCGATAGAAATGGGTCTCGTTGTGGGTTTCTCTGTTTTCCCTCTTCTCTCTTCATTTATCTCTACTTTAAAGGATTAAATCATGATCTAAATGAATTGAGAATCAAAACAAATGTTTAGAAAAAATTAAGTACCAAAACATAACATTGTCAAAACTTGCATATCAAAGGCCTCACTAAAGTTCAAAAATTACAAAAACATTGTATCAAGCGCTTAAACAAAGGTCGAAAATTAATATACTATTAAATACAAAAATATTAAATGAATAGTATTTATAAGTATAGATGAATAGTTAGTGAATATTGAACAATCCGTTTGTTTTAGTTTTAGTTTTAGCTTTTTTTCTTTTTTGTTAATAAGTATATAAATGTTATAATAATAATATACATAATTGTTGGTGTAATGGCTTTTTTGCCCTTTAATTATTAGAGTTGTGAAATATTGAGGTCTGTTATCAATTTAGTCTATTTTGACTTAAACTAGCATGTTTTGGGTAAATATTGTTATTCTATTTTATTTGATCATTATCATTGATTAAAAAACTCCTTTAAAAAAATTTAATTTTGATATTTTGGATTGATTTTTTTCTTTTACATATACTAATAAAAAATCAATCTACTTTCCAAAGAAATTTCATAATTTTTTGAGTTCAAGGAGCATTTTTAAAATTGTTCTTTAACATTAATTATTAATAAAATTGAAAAAAAAATAATTTAGAATGATTCCAAATTTCATTGGAAGGTCTAAAGAATCATATAATTTGTCTATTTAGTTTTAATATGTTTTTTAAAATAGTTACATAGTTGAATGCGTAATATCTAACCAACTTTAAAATAGGTTAATTTTAGGAACCACATATGTAAAAATTTTGAGAATTATACTAAAATTACTATTTATCCTTAGAGTTTAAAAAAAAAAATCCATTTTTTTTCTATTTTTTTTATAATTTTTTTTTATTGTTTAGAAAATTAAAAAAATACTTTCAAATTAAAAAAATATATATTTTTGATAAAATATTGAATTTTAATTAGTTTCTATAAAAAATTTCAGTTGAAAATACCAATACATGAATTTTTTAAGAGGATTTTGGTCAATACAAACTATCAAGTTAAACAGAGAGACTTTTTCAAAATATGATAGTTTAAGATCAAATTTTATCAAATAAATAGTATGGGCCGGAATTTGCCACCCTAATCAGGGGCAAAAATTGCCATTAAACCCATAATTATTTTGGGCTGGATCAAACTTACAATAAACCATCCCACATCAAAAGTCCAATATCCACATCCCAGTTCCTTCCCAACTCCCAAGTTAGGCCCTGTAAATAACCAACAGCCCTATGGCTAAAACCGTACTTTCATGCCTTCACCTTGCACCAGAAAACCCTAATAATCCCCTCTTTAATTTCCCAAGCCGAACCCTACTCATAAATCTTCCCCACCTGCTCTGCTCTGCATCTGTAAAAGCGAAGAAGCGAAGATGCAGATCTTCGTGAAAACCTTGACGGGCAAGACAATAACCCTCGAGGTTGAGTCCTCTGACACAATCGATAATGTCAAAGCCAAGATTCAAGACAAGGAAGGAATCCCACCAGACCAACAACGTCTCATTTTCGCCGGAAAACAGCTCGAGGACGGCCGAACACTCGCTGACTACAACATCCAGAAGGAGTCCACTTTCCACCTCGTGCTTCGCTTGAGGGGTGGAGCCAAGAAGAGAAAGAAGAAGACCTACACCAAGCCCAAGAAGATCAAGCACAAGAAGAAGAAGGTCAAGCTCGCTGTACTCCAGTTCTATAAGGTTGATGATAGCGGAAAAGTCCAGAGGTTGAGGAAGGAGTGTCCTAATGCTGAGTGCGGTGCTGGAACTTTCATGGCTAATCATTTTGATAGGCACTACTGTGGTAAGTGTGGCCTTACCTATGTTTACCAGAAGGCTGGTGGTGATTAAGCTTCATTAGCTTTTTTTTGTTCCAAGTATTGAACAAGGGTTTTGGCCAATTTCTTTCCTTTTTTTAGAGCATGTTTGATACTGAACTTATAGTTATATTTTCTTGGTATTAATTGGTAATTTGGAGCTTAATTATTGGTTAATTAGCTGTTTGTGTCATGCTTTGTGCTGTGCTTGATCTGGGTTTCGCTGAAAAATCCTTTTTGATTTACTTCTATGGGCAAAAATGGCTTTAACCTTGTAATCTGCTTCACAAAGTTAGCAAAAATGGCTTTAACCTTGTAATCTGCTTCACAAAGTTAACATGATCCATGTGAGAAGCAATGTTCAAGACTACAACTAATAAATGGATAATCAACGTTATCTCTTTGGGCAAACCTCAAACAGCCTTGAATTCATTGTATGTTGTATTAACCTCTGCTAGGATAGTTCTTGCTACTTGTTAGAGGTCTGGTTAGCATGCTGTCTCTATAAATAAAGGGAATTATTTTATATTATCAATGTCTTCATTGTGAACTAACTCAGCAGTAGAAGAGAACTTTCTTTTCAATTAGAAATATGAGTGGCTTCTACCAGTCTTTTACTCTAACCGACTGCAGAAGGCTTGTTGAACTCCTTGAGGGAGAGTGTTTTCTTTTATTTATTTCTAATTAGCAGAATATGTTCGAGAAACACAACCAGTAGGAGCACGCAGAGCTCTAAAGTGTGAGCTTCTTATCATATTTTTAGTCTGAACTTTCTTGTCCTTGCAATTTGAGCTTTCTGTAGGCAGATTGGATGACAGAATATAGGATTCCATTCATCATGAGCCAGTGCTTGCCAGTAGGGACAGCTCCAGGAACAACATGTTATGTACAGCATCGTAAAAACCTAAGTCTCAAGAGCATTGCAGCTCTAAACACAGTGTTCAGAGAATTCTCTTTAGAAAATGTTGTCATCTTCTCGAGGATGAGTAGATTTTCCATCAGTAACTAGTGAAAGTAATCTAGATTTCCCTTTGGGAATGTATTGGCAAATAATATTTTATTAAGTGGGTTGGCTAACATAAGTGGATTGAGAAATTTCTTGGTAAGAGGAGATCGAAAGCCAATTTCAATCTGCATTTTTAACTAATCATCTTAGATTTTGTTACTTCCTCTTGGGGAGTTGATTTTGTAGATGAATGGAGATTGCAGGGGTATTGCTGTGCCAGTAATTGTTTGTGTTCTAAATAGGCAAAGGAAAACCAAACAGTAAAAGAAATTCATGATCCATAGAAAGCTCCTTGTTAAATTCTACATAGTAGACTACTGACTCTCAACTAGTAACTAGACACGCATTTTCAGAAACTACCAATAACTGAAATTTAAATTCTAATCAGAAAGCCTATAATGGGCATTAATTGACCAAAGGAACATTTTTGTTGATGAACAATCAAATAAGTCTTCAATTTTCTGAAACAGATAAATCTTCTTTAACTATAACTTCGGCGATTCAGAACAGCCTCAAGCACTCCGCAGGCTGTGTCGCCAGTGAATTTTCTAAGCTTCTCTATAAGTTGTTTTGCCAACTTGGCTACAATGGATATGGTTGAAGTTAAAATTGCTGTGGTTAAAACCACAAAGAGACTGAGCTTATCTGGTGTAATGTTTATCAACGCGGTGTTGTAAGTGGCGAACATTGCCATGAAACATATTTGTAGCTCAAATTGCATGGGAAGTCTACATGTGAGGGTCCTGATCATGCAAAGAGATACAGAAAACCCAATTGTGTTGAAAAGTACGAAGACGGCAAAAGCAACTCCATCAGTAGTACCCAAAATGGACTGACCAGCAAGGTGCTTTGGGTTGCTGCTAGTGCTATTGCTTTGATCTGCTATATTACTATCTTGCCAAACTCCTTCTGGAGGACTGACTCCAACTTGAAATGTTGCAGTTGCAACAAGAACAGCTATAACCAGTAGCGTGCCCTGTGCTTCGCCGGGAGGGTCCCTGCCCTTTAGAAACTTGAAGTACTCGACCAGATTGTTGGGTTGAGATTGATGCGTCTCTGCTGTTGCGGAGGTGTCAATAGGGTTTTGATTGCTAGAAATGGCAGAGAGGGTGATATCTCTGGATTTCATAGCTCCAGCACCTAAAAGGATCTCAATGATTTCTCTATCCCCTGCTTCGCTTGGTGGAGTAAGTAGCATATCCAGAGGAGTAAAACCACTATGGTTTATGGCATTCACTTCCAATGAGCCTGGACTTGTATTTCTGCTGCCGAGTAATAATTCTATCTCCTGCAGTCATAGCTTTTTATCAATTAAGAGTCGGCTAGAAACAGAACGTGCAACTAGCCTCAATAACTCTGCTTTGATGAGGAGTATAGCCTACTATAAATTGTCTTTGAATTCCAAAATTATCGCAAAACAGTCTGAATTATGATGATATGAACTCTTCTCCACGATTAGTATGCAAAGTCACAAGTAACCTATTTGCTTTTTAACTATAGTCCTGAATTGCTTGAAGTACTCAAGTACTTAAGATTTTTCCTTCAAAAAATAAACCCACGACATTTGTGAGAAATCATCAACTACTATCATGAAACACTTACTTCTATTTAAGGAGGCTGCTTGCATTAGGCCACACAAATTAGAATGAACCAACATCAAAACCTTAGTAACTCTCCATAACTTTCCCACTAGAAATCTTTCTAGATGATGTTTGCCAAAAATACATGTTTCACACAATTATTTGTCACTATTAACCATGGACAAACTATATTTTGATTTTGCAAAAAAATAAAATTAGTCCATTAAAATTTGGATAGTCATATCTCTTATGCCAAACTATAGAATCACTAGTTGATGCAACAAAAATAGCATGAGCAACTCTAGAGAACACAATAAGAAATAAAAAAAATATCTTGTTACTAGTCATTTTAACCAAATAAATCAAATTCATGCTCCTTTTATCATATATCAAACATTCATGATTCTTAAAAACAATATAATAATCTCTTTTTTAACAATTGAGCCAAGCCTAGCAAATTATGAAACAAGGAAATAACATGCACAATATTATGAATAAATCTACTATTTTATAACATTATAGCAACATTAACCTTGTTTTTGTTGTCCGTCAACACTTGTAAATTAAAAGACTCATTAATTTCTATAAAATAACTCATGTTTCTTATCATGTGATTGATGCAACCACTATCTAAATACAAGATTTCTTCATACATTGATACATTAGAATCAAAGCAAGTAATAAATAAATTATCTTTAGATTCAATAATTTTTTTCTTTATGAAAGTTAGCTAGCTTATTTTTCTTAAAATTAGCTAGCTTATTTTTCTTAAAACGACAACACTTTTCAATATGATCAAGTCTATTACAGTAACAACTTAGAGTTTTTGTTCGATCAAATTTATTTTTGAATCAACAATCCTTATCCATATTAGATTTATCACAATAAGAACAAGATTGAGAATTAACAACATTGCTTCCTTTGAAGTTGAGTTTCTATCATTATGTTTAGCCTCTGTTCATATGATAAAAGTGACCCCATCAACTCATGAAGAGAGTAACTAGATAGATCCTTGGATTTTTCTTGTAGCCACAACATGAACAAATTTAGCTGGAAGGCTTCGCAAAACATTTTCAACAACTTTTTGATCTCTTAATTCTTCACCCAAAGCTTGAATTTGATTCACCATAAAAAAGATTTTTGTAAAGAATTTCTAAATTGAATCAAAAGGCTTCGTCAATAAATTTTCAAGAGTCTTAAAGAAGAGTTTGCACCTTCATTGTCACAACTTTACTTGAGCTTTGATACCTTTCATCGAGCACATCCCAAGCTTCTTTTGAGGCGATGATAGACATAAGGGAATGAAATCATCTAAAATCTATTGAATCATAAATAAGGCTTTAACATCTTTTTTTTTTTTTTTTTGCTCGTCTCTAAACTATTATGTTGAGTAGTTGTCGGTCTTATGACCGATCGGGATCAACATGATTTCCAAGACCTTTCTCTACCAAGTCTACAAGTCATACGACATGAAGAGTGAAGATGATCAATCGATTATTCGGTTCGATTTTCGATTAATCAAATTACTAAAATAAAAAATTAAAATCGAATCGAATTGACCTTTGGTATTTTGATTTTTAACTAAAATTTTAGTTTTGGTTATTAATTAATTCAATTAATAATTGAAGTTTTTTCTCAAGTGGGCTTTTACTTTTGGGCCCTTATACCGAATGGGGTTTGGCCTTTGGGCCAAACTTCCTACGCTAAATACATGACTAACTTGCTGCAGCCTATAGAGATAATTAAAAGAGGAGCCCAAATAGAAATCTGGTACACTAGACAATCATAATTCACAGCTCATTGAAATCAAATTAAAAAAAAAGAGAAGATATTGACATATTATTGCTTTGACAGCTTTGTTCCTTCCAGAGTTCCAGTACCACTGTCCTAGTTGGCTCTTTCTATCAATTGTATATTTGTATTTGTTTTTTTCAAGAACCACATTGGCATCACTTCCAGTTCTAGGCTCAAGAACAATTAACTCCTTTTGGCCACTTGATTTTGAGCAGTTTACAAGTGGTCAAGAAAACATGGGTGTTATTGATTATAGCACATGTTCCTAGTAGATATTAGGGATGACGTTGTTACCAGAGCGATATACTTATAGAATTGAATGCTTTCAAAAGCCTTGAACTTTCACGCATTTTTATTAGTGCTCTCTAATAATGTTTTTCTGCCCTCTATCTTGTTGATTCCTTCTTAAGTTTTTGAGTGTGTTGTGTTTGTTCACCTCTATAAAAATTAATGAAGTAAACTAGATGCTTATGTAGTTTGTTGTATTTTTTGGGGCATGGTTTACATAAAAAAGGTTATAGTTTCTATGATCCTACTACTAAATGTACTAGTGTAACTATGGATGTTATATTTTTTGAGACAGAAACTGAAAAAAATTAATTTTTGATTCAACCGATCTTGAACGAAGTCGGTCAAATCAATTGAATTTGACCAAATAAATATTTTGATCGATATAATTACAAATTCAATCCGTTTAAATTTCAAATCGTTGGATTTATAGAATAATTTACTGAACAATATCAGATTAGGTTTGATATTAAGTGAAAGGTAACCAAGAAATTAACTTGGATCCAATATGTCTCCTCTTCTTCTCTCCTTTTCTTTTAGTAAAAGATTTTGACCAAACATATGAACATATGAACAGAACATATTTTAAATCCTAATATGACTCGGTTCCTTTTAGATTTTATCTTTTGACATTTTGTGGTCAATATTTTTGCTGAAATTTTGTTCTACTGGAGGATTCAATAGTCTATAGAACTTACATATGCAACGTGAACATATGTTAAAACTGATTTTCTGGCTATAAACCCAATCTTGGCGCACAACATGAAATCGAAGGACAAAAAAGATGTAGAAATGGATGGTCCAGATCGTTTGTTAATCTTTTCCATCTCTCTCACATCACTAGTTTTACTTGCTAGTTTTAAACTTCTCAACTTGTATTTATAGAGGGTAAGATACAGAAAAACTTCAGAATCTTGATTGGAATTAAGGGTTAAGAAAATAAATTGCTCGAGAAATAATGGCAATGAAAAATGCGAAGGAGCTCGTATCCACCAATACGGTGGTGATTTTCAGGTTTTCTTTGAATTAAATCATCTCGATCTAGGTACGTATACTTATTTAGATTAATTTTGAGTAATTACTAATATTCATATCTTAAAAACATTTGCAGCAAGACAACCTGTCCCTTCTGCTAAAAAATGAAGCAGATTTTTGGCGATTTAGGAGTCAAATTCAAGGCTGTAGAGTTGGATGTCGAGAGTAAGTTTTTCATTATCTCTTGTGCTCTATCCTGTTCTTTTAATTACTCATACTTTTGACAAATCATTAGTTAATTACATGACTAGTATTTTTCACCAAATTACTTTGATCTGCCTTGAGCAACCAATGTGTAACACATTTGTTTTACAATGTGATCCAATCATAAAGGAAAGAATTTTATTGAATTTTATGAACACAAAACCATTGCATCCTATCACCTATATATGCTATGTGTGATTTTATGAATCTCACAGTCTGGTTTGTCTTACTATGAAAGGGTGCATATGTACTGTTAATTAGGCATTAACTGATTATAATTATAGTAAAAACTATTGTGTTTTCAAGAGGATGGAGCTGAGATACAATCAGCTTTGGCTGAATGGACTGGACAACGTACCGAGCCAAATGTTTTCATTGGTGGCAACCACATTGGCGGCTGTGACTGTATGGCCTTCAATACCACCTTCCTACACTTTTCTTTCTCTATTCCGTTGTTATTGTTTACCCTATTGCTCATGGGGGCTCCTTTCATTGTTTTGCAGCAATCATAGGCCTGTACCAGGATAGAAAGCTAGTTCCTCTGCTAACTGATGCTGGCGCTGTTGCCTAAGCTTCTGCTTCTGCTTCTGCTCCTGCTTAATGGAGTTTCAGTTATGTAGTTGATATGTCTTGTAATAATTAACCATTGTGTTTGGTTTGGTTTGAGCTGTTTGTCTTGTCTAGTCTTCCGAGTCTTAAGCGTCTTTGAATTCTATAATTTCTGGTGGTTTTCTTTTACTTGACGTTTCTGTTTGCTATGGAATCTAAGTTGTACGCATTGTCTATAACATATCAGCTGTCTTTTGTTGGGATGCTATTACCGTTAAACTTACTCACTACACCAAAGGATCCTTTTCGGACGGTTTTTCAATTAACCACCTCTACAACATTTCCCGACTGTTTTACCAACTGCCTCACTACAGGTTATCCAAGGTTTTTTCAACCGTCGAGGAATGTTGAGGTGGGTGTTTTGGGACAGTTTTTATTTTTTTATTTTTTGAAAACAGAGACAGTACCCTAAAAATTTTTTTAATATGAAAAGAATCAAAATAAGAGAGGACAATCTAGCCTAGCCTAGCCCACCCATTAGATGGGAGGACAAAGAAGCCTAGACACTTAAAATATTAATTGGACAAGACCTGATAGCCATACAAAATAAAGTAGAGAAACTGCAAAACTACGTACTAACTAAATAAACAAAAGTAGAAGAACAGCATGCAAGTCATGTATGAAATAACTTATACACAATAACAAAATAGTGCCATATATGTTTTCTTTATACTCTGTTATACACTTA